AAAAAAAAAAAAAATATATATATATATATATATATATATAAACGCGTTGCGCGAAAAGTGCATATAAATCATTTTCGTATAAGATGGAAGGCGTAAATGCTACTCGCATCTTAGTTATCTATGAGACACAATTTCATTTTTATCTATCAATTAATGTAATGATTAGGGGAGGGGGGGGGGGGGGGGTGTTTTATTTTTATTATCTTAGTTAAGAGTTGTAGGTGTGTAGGCAATGTTACTTGTTGTTGCAGCAATATTAGGTTCAATTCGCTATAGCAAAAGGTTTCACATCACATTTTTTGTTAGCTGAAAGGATGTCAGCTCACAGTTAGTTTTAGATTTCTTATCAAATTTTTCACCCAACTATTTAAGGTTGTTTCATGTTTACACCCCCTCATCCCCCCCATCCGACGTCAGAGATTGACAATAGAACGGATTTGTGCGTTCGTATATATGCATTGTTGTATTATGTAGCGTCATGTAATGCTTGCGGTCACAAAACTTAAATATACTTATGAAAATTGGAATATTTGAATATATATTCATAATGTGTGTGATCAGGGAAGTAGGTGAATTGCTTGTTGTGTTTATGATACGAAAAAATGTCTATTTCTTCTCCCAAATCATTGTTTTACAGTTGTTAGCAACGTGACGCTTTTTTCCCAAGATGTTGAGGGTTTTTTTTGATGGCATTCGAGTTTTGACACGTTTGACGCACAAAATATCCTTTAATATCGTCTGTGTTGATCCAAATGAAATGCCCACAGCATTAGCAAGATCTCTAATTGTTAATCGACGATTTTCGAGTATCAAATCTTTGATTTCCTTGACGTGTCCTTCATCAGTTGATGTTGATGGTCGTCCAGGGCGCTGTTCGTCTTCAACTCGTTCTCGGCCTTCTTTGAAATCTTTATACCACTTGTAAACATTTTTTTGAGACATAGCCTCGTCACCAAACGCCTTCTGCAACATTCTCAAAGTTTCCGCGGCCGAACATTTCGCACGCAAACAGAATTTAATGCAAATCCTTTGCTCGACAAGCGTAGACATAGCAAAAATCGAAAAAAAAAACTCACTTTTGTATGCTTAAAAAAACGCGTATAACTTTTACAGCAAGTAAACATTTTGACATGAAACCCTATATACATATAAATGTCAAAGTGTAGTACTACCAACCTAGAAAAAATAAAAATAACAACAACAATTTGATAGCAACCGCAAACATTGGAATTGAAAAATTCAATTTATTTTTATATCGTAGTACCGTCTGTGTAAAAAAAAAAAAAACTTGTATTCCAAAAAGATTGATCAATACTTGTACTGTACTTGGACTGGTTTAACAATAATCCGAATCAATATTCAGTACAGTTTCAAGTACATAATAATAATAAATGTTTTTTTTTTCGTTTTTCCAATAACGTTAGCTCGAAATGTTTACTAGAAGATCTATTTGATCAGAATTTAATAACGGATAAGACTTTTCAAGTCCAGTTCCCATTTTTATGATACGAAACACGTGTACATGCGTAATTCGTCCAATGGACAATTGTCCATAATCAATCAATAATATTATATTTGAATTAATTAAGTAATCAATCATTCATCGGATCTCCCCCATTCTCCCATGTGTTGTGCGATAGTCGTAGCCTAGGTGATACTTACCAAATCGATAGGTGTTATGCCTTTGTCTAGCGAAACTTGAGATTTGAATTTGCCCAACTACTTAGGGCTAGGTTCCGTCAACTGTTGTACTGAAAATCAGGTCGTCGCTTAAAACGCCTTACTGCACCTATCCCAATATTGGAATATTTCTTTATTACTCTTCTTTTGTTTTCCAGTAAGATTGACTCTCACTTGATTACCTCTACGCGATTGCATAATCAATAAGCGAAGATATGCGATACCGGCAACTTGCAGTTAGTAATAGCTATTGCAGATATTTGTAATAGACAGGAATACGCACAGGTAATTCTATTAAGCTTTTATTCCAATATGATATGTATCTTTTATCCGCCTGGGTACTCGGTGATCAATTTAAATATTTCCCAGCTCTCTCTTTCTCTCTCTCTCTCTCTCTCTCGCCTCCTCCTTTGCTGGCGATTAGATGTTGAGGAAAACCAAAAAAAAAAAACAATAAATAAATAAATAAATGAAAAAAATTAATAAATAAATATGAAATAATTAAAATTAAAATTAAATAATTTTAATTAATTTTTATTATATTAAATGTGCTTGGGTACGACGACGACAATACATGCGATTGCGTTATTATATTTTCCGCTTCTGTGTGATAACATTGTTTACCATATACGTATGTGCATACACACGTGTTCTTTCATGGGCTTAAGTAAGCTTTTCGCATATAACGAGACAAAATTGAAGAGTGTACATTGACACACGTCACACTTGTTCCTTTCATTATTCAAAGCTCTAGTTCTGCTTTATATAAAATGTTTTAAGCGATAACCAACTATTAATAAATTAAATAATAATTTTTTCATTTGATTAAAGTGATATCTATATTGATGAAAAATAAGAAAATTAAGAGAAAAAAAAAATTTATAATAAAGAAATAATATAATTAAGAACTGACTTTTTCATCATATTCTAATTTTAATAAAGTTAATTACCATGCATGAACTGAAATTGGTGCCATTGGTTAAACAATTATGTGTTATGTTATTAATGAATGGTATCTGTAGACCGTTGCAAGCTTAATATATTTTCGTTTTTGTTTCGACGTATACCACTATATATTAAGTAATTGCACAATTCTCATGCAATTCATAAAAAATTTAGTATAAATAGTTCGTTGAGTGGTTTTAGCAATTGTGCCTAAATTTAATGAGTAAGGAAAACCATGTTGGTCTTGCTAATCGCTCGACTGGTTGCTTCTAAGGCAGTGGGATGAAGTTCATCGTTTATCGCTTTTCTTTTAGCGATTCCGATCGATATGGAGTTCCATATGAAGCGTAAATTTTTGAAAGGGTACAGGTCGTCCCATTGGACTCATGAGCTTACTACTCTTTCGAGCTGTAGAGTTCAGGTGCAGCGATCTGCCCTTGTAATGCGATTTATTATGAAAATATGTAATAACCTTGTTTGGACATTGGTTTATGTGTATGACCACTTGAAAGAGTGAGCGCTATATATACCTTGATATTTGCGGATCTAAATGTATATATAATATATGTGCAATTTTCTTACCGTTTGGCGTCAATTTGTACTACAGTTGTACGAATGCAAATGAGGGTTGTGTGGGGGCACGATTGTAATCTAAAATACACCCACACACACACACACACACACACTCTCTGTCATTTAGAGGTATATTGACGCAAATGGCGGGAGGGATTTAATTGTGTGCGGCAATATGGATAATTTTGACATTTAGCGAATAAAACGTAATAATATATTCAGAAGATTTTTACGGTCACAATATTTCTGATAATGAAAATCGAACGGTTGGGGAAGAGTTATTATTATGTAATTGTACAATTCTCATCCAATTCATAAGAAATTTAGTGTAAATAGTTTGATGAGTGGGATCATTAGAGTCGGTGCCTAAATTTAATGAGTAAGGAAAACCATGTTGGTTTTGCTAATCGCTCGTCTGGCTGTGCTTCTAAGGCAGTGGGATGACGTTCATCGGTATCGCTTTTTCATTTAGTGGTTCGAAAGATATGGGGTCCCATATGAAGCGTAAATTTTTGGAAGGGCACAGCTCGTCATCCCATTGGATTCTTTCTAGCTTTGGAGTCCACGGGAGGCGATCTGCCCTTGTAATGCGATCTATTACGAAAATATTTAATAACCTTGTGGAAGATGGTATGTGACCATCGAAATAACAGATTATATGGTATCTTGATTTTGACGGATCCACTATATACAATCTTCTTGCCATTCGACATCAATTTGGACTGCAGTTCTAAGAATGCAAATGCGAGTGTGGCGCGTTTGTAATCTAACACTTACACTCCTATGTAAAGTATCTTCAAATATGGACGTTTGGTGGTAACATGGTTAAAATTAACAATTACAGCTACAGCTTTCTTACATAATGATAATAATAAGAACATTTTACGGTCACAATATTTTTGATAAGGAAAATCGAACAATTGGTATGAATTATTTTTTATATATAATTAAAATATCTATGTATAAAAATAATTTAATGCAACACTTTTATATACCCTTGCGGTGCAGGGTATATTAAGTTTCTGCGAACGTATGTAACACCCAGAAGGACTTCATATAATAGTCCCACCTTCTATTATATCGATCCGTGTATAGACGGTTTCTGAATCTATCTAAGCTTGTTTGTCGGGCTGATGTCTGTCCATGTATTATTATTATTATTAATTTCGCCAGAGAAATAAATTCTAAGACTAAACTCTTAGAAGCACTAGCATCTAAGGCTATCGGCTTTTATTAAAAACTCTACCGCACTTGAGATTCGAACCCACGACCATTGACTTGCTAGTCGATATTCCTCGCCTTCGGCTACTCAGGCGGATATGTTCATGTAAATATATGTTCATTCTATAGGGCACAATTTTTGAGATATTTTGATGAGATTTGGTATGCCGACATGCTTGGACCCAACGACGAACGCTATTGAAAACGATTCGGATCGGTCCACGTTTACGGCCATTCCCAATACCACACTTTATTTTGAAACGTCGTTATATGAAAAAATTCGCAATTGTTAAGACAAAATTCGCTAAGTAATAATATTTCGACATTCTAAATTGATATGAAAAATTTGGCTAAGCACGGTCAATCTTTTGAATCTCCTCTATAATGTTTTTGCCTTTTAATATATCTATATATGTGTGTATATATATGTATATATATATATGTTTTTTTGTTTTTCTCTTTTTTTTTCTTTTTCAATAAGATGATAAGATGATTACAATTACTCCCATCAAAATTCAAAATTTGTAATATACACTATACAATTGATTTGACGTTTACGTCTTGTTTGGTCTTTCTATGCGATCTATTAAATCTTACCTCTATTGGCATAAACTCTTTTTCTTTTCTTATGTGTGTATTAAAAGTACAAAACCTGCTAAGTTTCCTTCATAAGAAACAAAGTTTCATTCCTCAGCAAAATTTAAATATGGTATTTTCCATGAAAGCTTCGTTAAAGCGCATGTTCCGTACTTTGGGCGTGTTGGCTTCTAATCAAAATTTATCAAAAATATCTGTCCATGAGAAATGATAGCAATCACATATATTATCTGCAATTGCGAAAATTTTAAACAATGGCGAAATTGCATTAACGTCATCGCAAAAAAAAAAAATCAGTAAATGAACGCAGTTGTGATATCGAATAAATTTGTATGAGTGCGATAATAAAACATTTTCTTAGTAAGTCTATGTCAATTTCAATCAAAATGGGCGTCCGACCATTAAGTACCCTACACTACTTTTTACTACTTGGCAGCGATTCACTCTCATTTTGGTAATAAAACACCAGAAGTTACACATTAAGTTCATGCAAAGGCATAGGTTTCCTAAAATCTCGCATATTGGCGAATTGCCAAAAACAATACATCGGGTAAATCAAATTTAGCAAACATTCATTTAACTCTTGAAAATTGTATTACTTTTCAGTTTCCGTCATAGAAAACTAAGAATTTAAGTTCCTATCCATACAAGGGCTTGCTTTTCATAATATCGCTTATATCAGTTAGGGACAATTAGAGTGCATTCGGAAAATGACATTAGCTGAGGTACATCTTTCATATCAATTGGAAAGGTCTAAAAGCTATTGCACAACAAGTTTTGTCGAACAATTTTGGTAATTTAGGAATGATCGGAAAAACATATCGATCCGAAGTATTTTTAATAGTGTTCCTCCTTGGTTCAAAAGACGTGGGTGTATCATGTTTCAACAAAGTATCTCAAAATTGACGCCCTATAGCTTGAACACGCAAACATCAGACGAACAGACAAACACTCAAGCTTAGATCGATTCCGAAAATGACTCTGGATCGATCGGTATAATAAAAAGGTGAGTCCATCTTTTGGATGTTACATATGTTCGCACAAATTCAATATATTACAAACGTATAGCAAATGACGTAGGAAATAAAAAAGCAACACTAATGCCACAATGCAATCGATTCAAGGATACTAAGATTAGTTAACAATTTCAGTAATTGTTCGATACAAAAAAAAGGAATAGAAAGAAAAGGTAAGTAATGGAATGAACGCGGAGATTTAATGGCGAATTCAATATAGAATTGCATCAATCCTGTATTGGGGTGTAAATGATGTGAAGTTTATGTCAATCATAAATAAATGTGTTCATGTTTGTTCGTATATCTCACGAAAGTGAAGTCAAGTTTAAAATACTTATTCTTGATGAATTCTATAATATATTGCTTTTGTCGAATTTTTCATCCAAATTCTATGTAGAGTCTCGTCAAAAAAACGCCCCCCTCTCAATAGGGTAACATACAAAATTGTTGTTGTTATTTGTGTGTCTTATAAAAGCAGAAAAAAAAAAAATTATAGCTCTAATTATTATGGTAAAGCAAATTAATTAGTAAAGTTTCGAGAATGATGTTTCTGCCGCACTCCCTATAGCATTCGACAGAAAGATATATAATATTTTGTACAAAATTAGCAAATTTCAAATTTGGCTTCACTTTTGCAAAACATATGTTTGCGTTAATTTCATAATAATAATGATTAAATGATTAATGCATAGCGAATTTTGAATACTTATCGTATAGGGCGAAAGGTAAATTTCATTTTAGAATTAGATAGAGTTTGTCTTTCGTTTAACGTATGCACAATATGTTCTTTCGAAGCTGTCAAATTAGGCGAAAGTTAAATAGCTTACGCTTTGCTTTAGTAATGATTGTTCAGAGTTGCATTTATAAGAAAAAATTTTAAAGTTTTAAAAACGAAAAAAATTTATTCGAAAATGCAAAGTTTTATTGTACGAAACCATTTTTAAAGATGCATTTTTTATTTTCGCCTTATTTTGGAAAGTAAAACGGAAATACATTTTGATTTATGCAATTTCTTAAAAAAAAAAAAAACCACTACACACATCGTTAAATATACACAATAGATAAATAAATAAAAGGATGATAGAATCATCAGAGCGTTTCATTATGGGATGAATACCTGGCAAAGATCAATTATTAATATTGATAAGTGATCTGTACGTACCACAGACGTTTACTGAAATGAATCGATAGTTGAGCTTAAATCATTTGTAAAATTTCTTTCATGTTTTATTAATAGAGCGATGAAACATTTGCTTTACGAGATGAGGAATTTAAATGAATTGCTGGCACGTCTCTCTCTGTCTCTCTCACTGTGTCTCTCTTTCTCTCTGTCTGACTGTCTGTCTCTGTCTCTTTCTGTCTGTCTCTGTCTCTCTCTGTCTGTCTGTCTGTCTCTCTCTCTCTCTCTCTCTCTCTCTCTCTCTCTCTCTCTCTCTATCTCTATCTATCTATCTCTATAAAAGAAAGACAATATCAAAAATCTGTGAATTTGTCTCATACTTTATTCTTATTTTCTTTTTTATGTTTTTTGTTTTTATTTATTTATTTATTTTTATTTATATAATGAATTAAATTTAATATATTACAACACACAATAATTAGGAAAGGAAATTTTTTTTTTCTTTTTATTTTTATATTTTAAGATCCCTTAACATTTTTATTCTTACACTAAATTGTTGAGTTTATTGATAAGTGATTTAGAATATATATCCACATAAGTATATCATATGTGGGTATAACGATTTATAATTTATTGTGATATTATTTAAGAGATAATAAATAATTTAATTTTCTATATAAACATCATTTAGCGTGAAAACATAATTTACATACCTATATATATATATATATATATATATATCTATATCTATACCTATACCTATATCTATACCTATACAGTTCACGGTAACAAAAATGATTGTGATTTTTCTTCGATATAAAAATCTTTCATCTTTCATTCAGTTGTTATGAATGCAACTAATTCCCTGAAATAAACATGGTCTGGCAATAAGTCA